CAGGCTGGCCTCGAACTCACAGAGATCCGCCTGCCTCTGCCTCCTGAGTGCTGGGATTAAAGGCGTGCGCCACCACCGCCCAGCAATGCTGCTTGTTCTAAGCAGTAAGGAAATATGTGCTTCTGCCCATAAATCTATGCCATAAGTTTTCAGAAAGCATTGGTAGTTCATATGAGGACATTTGTATTTTGAGTTGTATATATATGTATCTAGTGTGTGATAGAAAATATAAACTGTACAATAATTCAAAATGAAGTGAATTCCTTCACTTATTAGAATATAAATGTATTTTAATTACAACTAGAGTATGTTTCTGAGAAAACTTGGAGAGTAGAACAATAGGATGATTTTATGTGTGTATTTGAGATTCAGTTCTGTAGGCCTAGAGCTACACAGTGACACTATGTTGAAAACGTTTGGAATGTAGGGCTTAGTCCTTTGTTTCTTTGGAATATTTTTCACAGTGCTAACAAGTGTCCATCGTAAACTTCATCCTTAGTAAATGTTGATAGATACACTGAATGTCCAAACCAATGAAAACTCTACAACTGTAGTGAATGAATACTTTTTCTGTGTTGATACCAACTGTCAAACATCTGTATGCTTGTAGTCAGTGTTATGTCAATTGGCACTAACCTTTCTTCCTTTCTTTTAACAGGTTGTTTCTATAACCTGATCACGTGTTTGCTGCATAAAGCACAATGTCTCGATCTCGACAGCCCCCACTTGTGACAGGCATCTCTCCGAATGAAGGGATACCTTGGACCAAGGTCACAATTAGAGGGGAGAACCTGGGTACTGGTCCCACTGACCTTATAGGTAAGGGCATGGCCTCTGATGCATTGTGGCATGCTGGCTTTCATTTTGAGTTGTTAAGGTAGGATACATAGTTTTGAAGTAGTGATTGATTGTTGGTTAAATGGCGTGCTGCTCCTGCGACCATACCGATGGAGGAGAGTGCTGGACGAGGAATCACAGGCCATGGTTACATTTTTTAGAGCTTTATTGGGAAAGAGGGGAGGGAGAGAGGGAGAGGGAG